ATGCAAAGCCGTATATTAAAACTGTATCGTACAGTAGCCTACAGTTAGAGTAGTCAGACTAAAATTATATTAACTATTCATACCTGTAATCAATTATCATCGTGTAAACCATTTTTTATTTAGTTTTTATCAATTCTAAAAATAAATGGGGATTATCAAATTTACTTTACACTAATACAATTATTTAAGTGAAGTACAATGGTTTAATAAATACACACTTAAAAATAAATAGATTTGTTAGCACATTCATATGCTTCAGCCTAAAAAATGTATCGCTAAAACACAAAATATCTCTTGTCTATACAAAAGGACCGATTATCCTAAAACTAACAGAAACTGAATGTGTTGACAGTTAGAATGTATAAAACAATAAAAATATATTATGCACAATTTTTTATTAAAAACGTGTAGTTCGGTAAAGTTTGTGTAGCATTACCTAATTTGCCGGCACAAGACTGAAAAAGAACACAGGAAGGGATGATACGATGATGGAGTGATAAGGCCGAGGAGTGTCGACAGGTATTGGAGGGTGTGGCGCCATTACGGCTGGCAGGAACTTAGTAATGTCTATCGACTGACGATATTGACTGAGAGCAAAACATTGAATTGCATACAATTCCCTCAGCAAATCTAAAAGCGCGGTTCTCAAACATAATGAGTTTGTTAAGTCATTTTATTTTATTTGTGTTTATTTATGCTGTACGTTAGGGAACCATCCTAACCTTGGTCTTGTTAGTACAATACCTAATGTCAAAATTTGGTTAATTAGCATCGTTGCTTGATAGTCCGATGACTAATGGTATCTGGGTCTAGGATCAATCTCGCTTTAAATCAAACCGGCCACCTACATATTTAGAGAGCACTGCAACCTCTCAACTACACAAACTATATGCTTCACTAACTACAGTCTTCACAGGAGATGTATGAATTTCTTCAACTTTAAGCCCAAGTCTCTAATTTGAGAGGTCTGTAAATGTGTAAATCATACACCAACACAACAAGAGGGCAGCTAAAAGGAGACTAGTTTTCCGTGAACAAAAAGTTCACAAGTGGGAAATGGTTTTCTGATTGGTCCGTAATTGTGGACTAAACTTATCTTATTATTTTTTGCATCCAATCTGAGCTAAGCAATAATTTTATTAAAAACTTAAAAACAAGTTCATTCTCAAGAACAAATCAATTAGGGTACCGGTATCTGAGAATCAATTGATTCCAAACTCAATTGGCAATCACACATTTAAAACCAATCAAAATACTACACTGAGCAAAAATTGTTTTTAGGAATTCTGGATACTTGAAAATATCTAGCAACTCAAATTTTAGTACATGATTAGGGTGGCTAGATCATACAAGGAAAAAACAGAACCCCTAAGCCTATATTGTTGTCCCCTGTTAATGGGATTATTTCCAACAAGAAACTAACAATTTTTGTATCTTAAATCATAATATGGTCTGTAACCCACTAATAAGAGAATAGAACTAAGTTTCTTAGTGCAATTTATTGAAATAAATAAATTATTAACACACAAAAAACCTACTGTGCCGGTTCTATACAGTGCCTTAAAACCTTCTGTATGCTACGGTACTATAATTTATCAACCATATTTTATATTAAGGAATAAGTTAATTTTAGGACCAGTTCACAAGAAAGAAATATTTTTATTTTTATGAAAGTACACCGATTAGTGAAAGTAAACATGAATATAACCAATTATCACCAATTTAGCTGATTAGCCAGCTGATCTGCCAGGTGCCACCTAGATACGAACGGAATCAAAATATGAATGAAGGATCAAGTGTAGAACTAAGCGAGATGCCTTGTGTAGCTTTGTTACTGACTAAGACCACATGTTTTATTAGCCAGCTTAATATTTTGTTTGAATGAAAAGCTATTGTTACTTTGAACAGTTCCAGTTGGTAGTTTGTTTGAGATTTATAAGCTGAAAATTGTTTTGGTGATTAAAAATAACCTAATTATTAGTAGCAAATTCCGGTAAGCAATAAGACTCAGGTTTTTCTTAACGTTGCTTACAATAAATTAGAAACATAATTTATCATTGTTTTAATGTAAACCTATAGAATTATATGTAAAAACGTAAGCACTGGTAGGCTACCCTATATTTACTAAGACTATTGGTCTTTCAAGAGTATATAACTAGAATTTGTATGTAGGGAATACAATGCACTTAAAACCACATTCTTTGTTTTTGATAAACACGATAAGGAAATATGAATGATAGACACAATGTAAAGCGAGATAGATAAGATTTTATGTTTCAACTATGCCTTCTAATTTAACGCTCAAACAATAAAAATCAAAGCTTTGTAATCTGCAGTATAACTGATAAATCAACGGTCCAACAATAGAAAATCAAAGCTTTGTGATCCAAAGTATAACTGATAAATCAAAGGTTTAACAATAAAAAAACTAAGATTTGTGATCTGCAGTAAAACTGATAAATTAACGGTCCAACAATCAAATATCTAAGATTTGTGATCTGCAGTATCACTGATAAATCAACGGTCCAACAATAGAAAATCAAAGCTTTTGGTCTACAGTATAACTGATAAATCAACGGTCCAACAATAAAAAATCAAAGATTTGTGGTCTGCAGTAAAACTTATAAATTAACGGTCCAACAATCAAAAATCAAAGCTTTGTGATCTGCAGTATAACTGATAAATCACTGAATTGAGTTAAATCAATTATTCTTGTCATAACGCATAGCCTAGTTATTTAAAATTCAAGAAAGCAGTCAGAGCTCTGGTGACTCAGGCCATTTAGCCATAGGCCAGTACATTTTTTGTTAACGATTTTAAAATGTATTTAACCTAGAAGGAAAGAGACGACTTCTATAAGGACAATTTTATTTATGACGAAGCACCTGTACATACATCCTGTAATATTCTGTACGTTTTGTGCCAATAAATATCATTCATTCATTCATTCATTTATAAGTTCAATATTACAATTATCTGGGTGTTTAAATCTGCTACATGGGCCAAATCTTCATTCACTGCGCCTTTGACTAAGTCCTTAATATCTAGCCAGGCCTTTCGCTAAGACTTGAATAATTTTCTAGGAATTTCTTGATATCCTTTATGTTAATTCCTTTGATAGCTGAGAGGAGATCCACACTGTCAGTATATCCATTTTCCCTCAAATCTCTGACAGAAGTTTGCGCCAATACCGATTTATAAAACATTCTATCAGATCCTGATTCATAGTTTCGATAAAACCTGCGGCTTTTGCAGGCAGAAAAATAAATTTTATACTGAGCTAATCGTCATAATCAAATGATGGTGTGTGACAGGTTCCAGCATTGTTAAGCAATGAAATAGCTTATTCCGGCATTTATACTCCTTAAGGAATCTCTAGAATCTAAGAATAGATTTATTTGCGAACCAGTCAATGAAAATGTATGATTCAATCAACGCTAATTTCTGAGGATGATAAATCAAAGGAAGAGAACTGGGATTTACTGATGACCAAAAGCGTGAGCTTAGGCTCCCGATGCATTCGAACACAGGGCAAGTGTTCTCATTTGTCTCTTTGTTTAAATTGAACCCTGGAGTTGAACTTGACTTCAACCGAGAATATATTTTGTGGCAACCTTTGAAATTCAGCCTAGTCTCGTTCATGTTGTAAATTTGATCTGGGACAAGCTTCTCTTATTGTATTATTTTTTTCTTTCGATATTGATGATGTAAAATAATGGAATTCTCTTTTTAGGCTAGATTGGTCCTGAAACAGGAGTGCCCTTCTTCCCTGTTGTAAGAATCACAGCCACAAAGCATCATCAACCATCTAGCTTGTGGTTTTTGTTAGTAGGCCTAACGGTGTTTAGTCAAATCTTTTCAGTCTTGATTTGAGTAAAAAACCCATCAGTTTTTTTTTTATAAAACACTAAGTTAATCATTAGCCCTGCTTTTCCCCATGTTTAATGCAAGACATATTTAAGCCAGATTTTTCAAATTGCTATGTTCAAATCCGTTCACTTTTTGAGCCACTGCCAACGCGTTAAGTTTTCATTTTGACACACTAATTTTTTCATTGGCCTATGTTAGTGTGCATAAAAACAAAACTGCAACACAATGTGACAATACTCAATACTTGACAAAACATAACAATTAGCCTAATAGGCACACTACTGTACTAACCGTACTGAAAATAATAAACGCCCAGAGAAGTATAAAGTGGGCCTACCTACAGAGGAAACAGAGTGCTTTATGAGACAACCAGTGCGCTTTCATATCTAGTATATGGTGCAGGAAATACACCAATCACTTCCAAATCGATTCCAGGAAGTGACCAAATAAACAGAGGACTGGAAAACCGAGGCCAGATATGAGGGGTTCTACTTTATTTATTTATTTGTGTTGTGTAAAATAAACTAAAATAATGTAACCGTGTTGTGTTGTGATTAACTAAGTACCTAACTTAGTTTAACAAGTCAGTCATCTAACTCCACTAAGTTAATGTTACCTATCTTTTCACCAAACAAAATGCTTTGTGTTGTAAGGACTACCATTGATCGATAATATTCTGTAATAAGTTAAATGGGTTGCCCATGAAATAAATATGTGTTAAGTTAAACAAATATGGCCTAAGTAATTTTAAGCTTGAATAAGTTGGTTAATGTTTTCTATTGAAATAAGTTAGATTGATTCAATACTTTGCCCCTTAACAAATTAACATATGTAAGTTATTACACCGTAGCCTATTAAGTTACCTGACTGTAAGTCGTAAGTCTCATTGAACATGGTCATTTTACATGGATAGGTTGGGGGTTGGCATACGCCTTAGATAAGTTAAATGATGGGAACTCTTAAATCTAAAAAATAAAAAGGAACAGCAAACTAGAATGAGCTTATCTTCCAAGCATAGCCTTGTTTAACTCAACTCGACTGAAGAGAGGTCTTAGCCTAGGCTATACAGTAACTAACTTGGGCCTACTTTTCGTTTGAAATAAGGGTAAGGTTTAATTATTTAAAATTACCTGATGACATTGAAGCGATGAGTCTAAATGATTAAGTTTTCGTGCATTATTGTTCAACAATACAACTTCACAGTTATAATGTTAACAACACAACTTGACCTACGCGACGAAAATAAACCTTTCCACCTTTCCCAGGATTGCGATTGCAATGCTATCAGCAACGGCAATGCAGTGCAGACGAAATCTATCTACTGGCACATCAGCTGTAGAGCTTTTTTAAGCCAGCTGGAGCTGATATTCAAATTCAGTTCACACTTCACTTCACAGCCTTTAATGAGTTTAATTTTACCAGTTAGAAAAGGCACGCTATAAGATATGTTGATGATAATTCCTGCACGTCAGCTTAATAATATTATTTTATTTTTATATAATTTTAATATTTACCGTACCTGTTTACCACGGCCATCTTTAATCAATCTTTACAGTAACTCCAGGGGCCCATTTCATAATTAACTTGTAATTTCCATTAAATTTGCATTGGGCGATCAGCTGATTTACAGATAATATTAGTTTGTACTTTATCATGAAATGGGCCCCTGGCCGTCACCTTTGAAGTGGCAACATCGCAAGTATAGGGTCGTATCATGTGTTTTGTTTGGAGGCAGCTAATGGTAATTGTGCATTTTATCTTGGTTACTGTCTATGACAAAGACAACATTGACATTACTTTAAATGTATAAAAATAGATTTTCAATTTAAATATTGTTTCGCTTTCCAATTCTAAATGTTTTATTTTCTATTTTATTAATACACGATTTAATGAACTGGCGTCACCTTTGCCTCCTATGTTATCTTATGGGACGTCTAGCGCTGGATAACACTCTACTTCCAACGTTGCCAAATTCTACGAGGCCTTGACCTGGAGTTAAAGGTTGCCAATATAGTGGTAGTTGCTTTAGGTAATCTATATCGTCTTAATTAAGACGATATATCGTCATAGTATTGGGGATTGTTATTGATATATGTTGTGATTTATTTTTTTTTTAATTTTGATATTTTGTATACAGTTTTTGATACAATAGTAGGATTTGTAGATTTGGTCTTTTGTCAAATTGACATAAAATAAATCAGTGTTTAGCCTATAAAGGCACACACAAATTTTGTGTACAGTGTGTAAGTTTTTTACCTCTCTGGCGAGTGAATATGATTACACGAAAAAATGTGAATTCCAAACAACGTCAAATGAGTAAATAGTTTTTTATTAACATAATTTTAAATACAGCTAAATGTAAATAGTTTGTAAATAACATTTGTGGTATCACGTCTGAAATTAGCCATATTTTAATCAGAACTGTAGGTTATTATTCTAAAGAAAGCAGGGATTACATTGAAGTTTATAACATGTGTGTTGTGGTAGGGGGCTCTGTTGTGGTAAGAGGCTCTGTTATGTGGTCGGGGACTCTGTTGTGGTAGAGGGCTTTGTTGTGGTAGAGGGCTTTGTTGTGTTAGGGGAGCTCTGTTGTGGTAGGACACTCTGTTGTGGTAGGGGGCTCTGTTGTGGCAGGGGGCTCTTTTGTGGTAGGGGGCTCTGTTGTGGTAGGGGGCTCTGTTATGTGGTCGGGGACTCTGTTGTGGTAGAGGGCTTTGTTGTGTTAGGGAAGCTCTTTTGTGGTAGAAGGTTGTGTTGTGGTAGGAGACTCTGTTGGGGTAGGGGGCTCTGTTGTGGTAGGGGGCTCTGTTGTGGTAGGAGGTTCTGTTGTGGTAGGGGGCTCGGTTGTGGTAGGGGGCTCTTTTGTGGTAGAAGGTTGTGTTGTGGTATGATACTCTGTTGTGGTAGGGGGCTCTGTTGTGGTAGGGGGCTCTTTTGTGGTAGGGGGCTCTGTTGTGGTAGGGGGTTCTTTTGAGGTGGGGGGCTCTTTTGTGGTAGAAGGTTGTGTTGTGGTAGGAGACTCTGTTGTGGTAGGGGGCTCTTTTGTGGTAGGGGGCTCTGTTGTGGTAGGAGGTTCTGTTGTGGTAGGGGGCTCTGTTGTGGTAGGGGGTTCTTTTGAGGTGGGGGGCTCTTTTGTGGTAGAAGGTTGTGTTGTGGTAGGGGACTCTGTTGTGGTAGGGGGCTCTTTTGTGGTAGGGGGCTCTGTTGTGGTAGGGGGCTCTTTTGTGGTAGAAGGTTGTGTTGGGGTAGGGGGCTCTGTTGTGGTGGGGGCCTCTGTTGTGGTAGGGGGCTCTTTTGTGGTAGAAGGTTGTGTTGTGGTAGGGGGCTCTTTAGTGGTAGGGGCCTCTGTTGTGGTAGGGGGCTCTTTTGTGGTAGAAGGTTGTGTTGTGGTAGGGGGCTCTGTTGTGGTGGGGGCCTCTGTTGTGGTAGGGGGCTCTGTTGTGGTAGGGGCCTCTGTTGTGGTAGGTGGCTCTGTTGTGGTAGGGGGCTCTGTTGATGTGGTTGGTGTCGTTGATATAACGCACATTTCTGTTACTTTGTTAATGATTACTTGACATTTATCCTTAAATGATAAATTCTCAAATGTTTGACAGCCTGATGACTCAGCGTCTACTTTCAGCTCTCCTCCAGATATAAGGTACTTCGCTTCTTCAGCGAGGGAAGCAGCTGCATTAAATTCATATTGGTAAACATCGTGGGCATTATGAAAGCACATGATCTTCAAAATAGAATTTCTTGAATATCGAGGCACACAACGTAAAGCATGTTGTAGAATCAGGTTCACAACAGTGTCTAAGTGTTTTATGGAAACATCTGCTTGATCAAGAATGACACCTATCTGTAAAACCAAAATAATTAAATATTGTAGAGTGAATTTTATAATATGCTATAACTCTGTAAATAAATTAAAACCAACATAATTTGAGTGTTTGATTATACCAGAGGGCTGGTACTTTGGTTCTCAAAAATTATTAGTTGACATAGCATGAAAATAAATGATTGTAAACAAATAATATATTAATCGTGTTGATTGGCATATTAAACTGGCAACTCCTAATATTATTTGCAACCATTTTCCAATTTGCATCATATCTCAAGAAGTATCCACTCCGCTTCTCTAATAATATTTAGGTAGTTTTCTATTACTAAATATACAAAAATCTAGGGCAGCGGGCAGGGTTTTTATAAAGAGATCTTTTTAAAAGAAAAGAATATGAGAAGTGTTGTTTAGTATTTATAATATTTCTTCTCTTAATGGTACTTACTTTCCGTGTCCGGAAATCAGACTTCGCTTTTCAAAAAATTAGCTACCGATATGGCTTTGTCATTCGCATGTAAGATCATCTAATGTGCAAGACTGGTCTAGGCATGGGCAGATCAGCAGATGGCCAGGGTCCTGAACAGCACCACATGCGCACAAGATGTTTTCTTCGTCTGGTAAGGTAAGAGACCCCATTTCTGCATGTTTGTCTTGCATTTTTGGTACCTGTACCGTAATTCGATTTAGGGTCTTCCACAACGTGTAATGAAGGCCTCCACCAGAAGCCAGTTCCTCCCTGGCTGGTATGGGAGGGTTAGTCAACGTGTCCTCCCACCTTGCCACCCGATTGCTTGGGAGTGATCCATCCATCAGGACTCGTGTCAGTGATAAAAAGCTCTTTCTGGACTCAAGCCGTCGCTCTGCAGGTTGGTGGCCGTGTAATGGGTGACGAGGGTCTGTCTCTTGCTTAGTCCTTTCTGCATCGGCAGGGACATCACGTCGGATTGATGGAGGGGCCCTATATGATAGGATAGAGTTTGTGTACTGGGGTTGGTTTCAAACACCCAGTTACAATCCGAGCCATGTCATTGACTGCAATTTCAACCTTTTTTGCATGTGACGATGCATTCCATACTGGTGCAGCGTACTCCACAGCCGACACACTGAGCGCTAAAGCTGAGGTTCTGAGGACATTTAGGGTTAGCACCCCAGCATCTGCTGGTGAGCTTCCTGATGATATTATTCCTCGCTGAGACTTTACCTCTTGTCGCAATACAATGCGCCTTAAATGTCAGTGTGCGGTCCAGTATGACACTAAGATATTTGGGTGTAGGACAATGCTGAAGACGGTCTCCCCGCCACCTCACATTCAACTCACGGCCTGCTTCTCTATTGTTTAGGTGAAAGGCACAAACTTGGGTTTTAGCAGGGTTCGGCTTGAGGTATTTGCGTCATAGTCCTGGGAAAGTTCATTTGTCATAGTCAGCTTCTGTTCCACCTCTTCAAAACTCCTACCTTGTGCCGCCACCGCTGTATCATCGGCATATATATACTGACGTTAAGCGTTTCGCAACCGTTGGTTGTTAGTGTAAATGTTACAAAGAGCTAGGGCTAAGACGCTACTCTGAGGCAATCCATTTCTTTGATTCCTCCATCTACTTTTCTTGCCTTGAAGGGACACGAAAAACCGCCTGTTATGAAGAAAAGTGCCTATCATTGAAGTCAGCTGATAGTCTTTGGTATTAATACTGTACACTTTTCCCAAGAGTCTTCGATGGTTTACGGTATTGTAGGCAGCTGTTAAATCTACAAAAGCGACACCCGTGATCTGTTTTCTCTCGAACCCATCCTCAATATGCTGGGTCAGGTTTAAAACTTGGCCACAACAAGACTTGCCTGAACGAAAGCCTGCCTGTTGTGGAATGATCTTTTGTTCCAGAAAATCGCCGATTCGATTGATTATCAGACATTCTAATATTTTATATGTGTGGCATAAGAGGGAAACAGGTCGAAAGTTCTTAGGATCGTTTGGATCTCTTAATAGGAACTCTTAATGGTACAGCAATAAAAGTAAGTGTCATTTGGAGGAACACAAACACAAACACTCATCTGATTGGATTTACTAAAATACTGCCTTAAACCTTTCTTAAACACATCAGATTTATTTCCTATTCATATAAAATTAGGTTTTACGAGTACTTTAGCTGATTCAGGGATGATAATAAAAGGTGCGTTTTTTTTTATAAATATTAATAGCTTAGTGATTAAATTTGCCCAATCTGATCAAAATATATTCCTGTAAACAAGTTAAAAACTTCAATACAAAACTGCTTATTCATCTCCATAAGAATAAGATCGGAATTTTAAAAGTACTTTACACAATTACAGATTTTGAAATTTTCTCCATAACAATTATTAAGTGTACCAAACACTTTATGAACTTAACAAATTATTTGTTTATAGAGCTAAAAAAATGGCTTAAAAAGTGATTGCAAAATTTTATGTACGGGGGTAAAAATGGGACAACCCAAATTCACCTTATAACACTTCATTCCCATTGTACAATTGTGCTATTTCGAGAACTTGTTTGAATTATCGCTTTGACGTCTTTCATTAAAAGCAGATTATTTTTACTAGAGTGAGCACCCTTACAGAAAAACTAACATACCTGTTGCCAGCTGTAGGTTAAATTTGTGCAAGCTTCCAACTCTTTCTGACTATCGGAGATGATCTGCAGTACAGTCATATTGATTTGAGAAATGCAATACGGATCAAAATCTTCTGCATGTGCCGCAACTATTTGATCAAAACATGAAGTCAGGTTTGATTCAATTACACCATCTTCCAAAAGGTTGTAAGTTTTTGATTTCTTGACAAATTCATCCTTTGTTGTATTGAGATTTGATTCAGTTTGCTGGACTTGATAAAGGAGGTTCTGTCTGAAGTACTGGAAGTCCTGGTCATCTTCATAGGAAGTGGGAGCTCCAATAATGGTCTAAAAAATGTATTAGTGGAATTAATAGGTTCATGCATCTTTGTATTGTAAACCCCATTTCATGTGTCTTTTTTAAATCACAAATTAGTTTGGCAAAATAACGTATTAAGATTGATAGGAGTTCTTAATCAATTATCACTGACAACAGTGTTAGTCCTGCTTGCACTTTTTTGCTAGGATTTTTATTTACAGGAGAAATGGAGGGGAGAACATGGAAATCAGTACAGTATTTCAAATCTATTTTTATTACTCTTACTATATTAATTAATATTAGAGGTACACATCTGTGCTAGACAAAATTACCACTATTGGTTGTCTCAAAAAATCGCTCAAGCAAGCGGTCGTGTGTGTGACTTGTCCCATTTGTTATAACATGATGAGTGATTTTTTTAAACTTCATGCCCGTCGTGGGAGCGAGCTTGGTGTGGCATGGCCTTTATTGGCAGGATTGAGCCATACTGAAATGAAATGAAATGAAATGTGTTTATTGTCCTTAGAATTTTCACAAATTATTGACAAAGTCATACAACTGCTAAGGTTTATAGCATAGTCAGTTAATAAATACAGTAAGATACAATATAGCCAACTACATAAAATGGACATTTTACAATACACATTTTAAATATTACAATTGAATAGGTAATCTTATTCTTAAGAAAAAATTGTGGCATTGAAAATAATGGAAGTGATTAAACCGCATAGCCATACTGATCTTTTACCATGAATTAGATCCCAATAAAAGTCGAAGCTGGTTACTTAGGTAGGTTATACTTATTTTTTATATTACCTGAAGCACTCCGAGAAGGAGAAAACCAAAGACAGCAATTAGACGATGTCGGGAGACTGTCATGATGAGGAATGTGATGTCAAATGTATTTGTGATCCATTACCTGAAATGCTATCTGAATGTATTGATTAATTTCTGGTACTTGAGATGTTATCTTTAATACTTTTCTTGAAATGGCGACGATACAATCATCTGTGATGATCTCATGATGAAATAAGCAATTTGAAGAGCTTTCGATACCTACTAATCTGTTGAGGAAGGGTAAGTCAAGGAATTCACTGAAAAGTAATTAGCCTAAGTTTATTAGGGAGTTGCAGATGTGACTGAATAAGGGTAATTGTTTGGTTTAGTTATGGAATCAAGGATAAATAACAGAAAATTAAATTATTCTACTAAGGAGTCAAGAAAAATTAGCGTAAAATCATTAATTTTATCAGGGAGTCACACAGAAGTTCCTGTAAAGTCAATTATGACAAATGATGGCTAAACATATCTCGTCAGACAATCCTTGACAGTATCGAACGTGCTACTTATGTTTCAGCGATTATTTAAAATAACACCGCCATCGTCAGCCAGCCACCACATTTTATTTTATCAGTACAGTTCAACTCTTGTACTGGACCAGCTCACCCGTTGCTTTGCCCACGGAAGTGTGGCCAGGCATAAATGCAAGGATAAAATAAGAGGCAAACAACCTCTTCAATAAAAATATACCCCCGCCGCAGCAAACCTGCAGACTAAGCGAATTCATATTTGTCTGCATTGATTTTCAGTATTTAAATAAAATTAGGTTTAAAGAGTACCTAGGTTTTCTGCTACACAAGGAAACTAATAATATGTAGTTTTTTAAAGTAATATAAAGTAATAATAAAAAAGCATTTTTACTCTTTAGAGAGTAAAAATCGTTTTTAGCCTCATGGAGTAAAAATCAGCTGTTGTCAACTCAGTTGTAAATTTTGATTGTAAACGATTGCATGTATCGAAAATATGTATCGATTCGTGCTTCGTAATCATTTTAACCTACAGTCTCTTCCCATAGCATTTTAGCATTGCAGATACATTAATCCATTCCCACAATCAACACTGCTCACCTTTACTACTTCCTTCACCACCCCCTACGTCCTGGACTTGTTTCCCTCTCTTCCCATAACATTTTAGGATTGCAGATACATTTAATGTAATTGCCAAAGACAGTTGCCACACTCTGCACTGCTAGCTAGCCTTACTACTTCCTTCACCATTTCTTATGTCATAGACCTGTTTCCTTCCCTTCTCATAGCATTTCAGTATTACAGATACATATATACTACTGCCCAAACGGTTCCTCCACTCTGCACTGCCAGCCTTTACTACTTCCTTCACCACTTTCTACGTCATGGGTCCTGTTTCCTTCCCTTCTCATAGCATTTTAGGATTTTAGATACGTTATTCTAATTGCCAAAAACATTCCCCACACTCTGCACTGCTAGTCTTTACTACTTCTTTCACCATTTCCTATGTCGTGGGCATGCTTCCATCCCTTCTCATAGCATTTCAGCATTGCAGATACATTAATCTAACTGCTACAAACGGTTTCCAGTTCCCACACTCCACACTGCTCACCTTACTACTTCCTTCACCTCTTCCTACGTCACGGACCTGTTTCCCTCTCTTCCTATAGCATTTTAAGATTGTAGATACCTTAATCTAATCGTCATAAACAGTTCCCACACTCCGGAAAGCTCGCCTTGACTACTTCCTTCACCACTTCCTACGTCACGGACCTGTTTCCCTCCCTTCCCATAGCATTTAAGGATGGCAGATACCTTAATCTAATCGTCACAAACAGTTCCCACAGTCCGGACAGCTCACCTTTACTACTTCCTTCACCACTTCCTACGTCACGGACCACAAGCTAGTGTCGTCATTTGATTATATTTTATTTATATATAATACCGTCTGTTCTAATGTCTGTGGAATAATGCTATCAGCTATTTCTTTATCTACTGCATTCAAAAGTCAACAGATGGTCATATTTCTTTGTTTATGTGTCAAATACTGCTTCCATAAGGATTACATTGAAACTTTGAGACCCAGTGGGGTGGATTCCTGAGAGACTTTTTTAACGCCATATAGATGTTGGCACTCACCAGTATGGTCTTTATCACCATGCAAAATTTGAAAACGATTGATTCAGCCGTCTAGGAGGAGTTTGCGTATTACGAAATGCATAAGAGTCGACGTATAACGGTATAAGAGCTTCGCTCGCTCCGCTCAGTAAGATAGGATAAATATGGATTTAATCCTTAGTTACTATACAGAAAATTAATGCAAAAACGTCATTATAGCCCGTAGCGAAGTCACAACTTTAGCGGGTTCATAAAAATAAATACCCCTGCCGCAGCAAACCTGCAGACAGTGCAGACTAAGCAAATTTCCATTTTCCTGATATGATTTTCACTTAGATCTATTTAAATAACAATAAGTTTAATAAGTACCTAGGTTTGCTGCTACAGGGAGGCCAATAAAGTGTGTTTTTTAGTAAAATATTAGTAGTTTAGTATAAAATAAATAAATTTGCCAAGTTTGATCAAAATGTTTCCATAAACAAGCAAACTACAACATTTTACAATATTCTCCATAAGAATAACATGGAAATTTTAAATTTGCAATTTTTTGAATTTTCTTTGTAACCAATAACCCTTACATAAACACTTTGGTGAAATAAATTATTTGTTTTTTTAAGCTCTTTAAAATGGTCTAGAACTGTAGATTTTCCAAACATTTCGAGAGCGGCAATGACTTATTGTGTTTGTAATACACATAAGATTTTTCCTACCACCATAGTAATTAATTAGCTTATCATAACACACACACACACACACACGGATGAAATTTTTAACTATATATAAAAAGTCATTTAGGTTATGTTTGATTTTTTAATCAATCAATCAAATTCTTTTTTCATAAAATGTACAGATTGGTACATGAATTTGTGTCAAAATAAGTTTTCTTATCTAGATCGCTAAAACTAGGGATTTTACAGCAGTCAAAACAGAATATTATATAACAATTAATGACCTTCAAATTGATTTTCCTCTTTCTTTAAATAATAATAAGTCCAGCTGATTAATGCATCAAATGCAAATTAAAGTAACAGAAAACAAACATAGAACAAATCAATGGAGATACTTAAATGTTTTAGTTTTTTAGTGATTTTCAATTAAGGCTATGCATTATTTGCTTACTGGTTGTTAAGTATCAGTCACCTGTGTGTGTAGAAACACTAACTGTGAAATCAGCTGATTAGCAAGCAGGAATGACCCATTCCTGCTCTAGAGCGTAAATGAGCCATTTTGCATACTGATTACAGCTGTGGCAAAATGTGATCATTTCCATGCAGTGCGGTAGGAAAACAAATTAAAAACGTAAACAAAAGATTGACTAACCAATATACAATGTTCAAATCAAACTGTGATTTTTATTCATGAAAATGTAAATACAGAAACATGTTTATGAAAATTAATTAATTCATTTGTGGACGAGTTTTTTATTCATGAAAATGTAAATACAGAAACATGTTTATGAAAATTAATTAATTCATTTGTGGATGAGTTGCAAAACTGCAATTTGATCTTTCTTCTGCAATCCACAATGCTTGCACTACAGTAGAATTATTTCTTCCTACTCTCCTTTTATTGTGGTGTTACGATGCAGTTGTCCAGCACTTCCTTGGTGATTCCTTTACATTTATCTTCCAATGAAAAGTTCTCGAAAGTTTGACAGCTAGATACTTCAGCGTCTACTAGCAGCTCTCCTCCAGATATGAGGTGGTAGACCTCAGCAGCGAGAGCTGACGCAGCATTGAATTGAACTTGGAAAGAGTCCTGGGCTCTATGAAAGCAATTGATCTTCAATGTAGGGTTTCTTGAGTATTGGGACACACAACCGGAGGCTTTAAGTAGAATACTGTTTACCACAGTGTCTAATCCTTTCACGACAGTTTCTGCTTGCTCAAGAACTTGACCTATCTGTAAAACAAACAAAAAAAAGTAAAAATAGGTAGCATATTACACAAAGATAACATGTTTGATAAAATGCCGTTTAGAGCAAGGTTCTATCTTGTCTAGTTCGGAAGATATGATGTTTAGAACACGTCTCCACGCTACATCCCCCCTCCCACCAAGTAGTGCACCTGCTGGGAGGGCAACAAAATCGGGTTTGGTCTTCTCCAGGATGCCCCCAACAGCAATCATTCTCTATAACAAATTTTTATTTACACATTTTTTTTTAATTTCTCCGTAGGCATACAACGTTTCAATATGCTCATAAAAATATATGAAGGAAACTGTGAAATTTTATGTTTTTGGGGTAAAAAACAGATAAACTACTTTAGCCCCACCCGTTCCTAAAGTCTGGTCATCCTGGTTCGCGAACTTGTTTGAATACACACAGATTTTTACCAAATTGTATTAAAATTGGGTGATTTTTAGTCAAGCTATTGAGTTTGTATATAAAACTAGCAGAGTACCCGTCCTTCGTACGGGGTTGGCATATAAGTATCAAATGCTTATAGCAGTTATGAGTGAGGACATGGTTTAAGAAATTTCGGTTCTTTTTGAAGTTCGTTCGCTACGCTCACTCACCTTTAGGTTGGAGCTCGTTCACTGCGCTCACTTTCCTTCAGGTTAGCTCGTTCGCTACGCTCACTTGCCTTCAGGTTAGCTCGTTCGCTACGCTCTCCGACCAGTAGTTTTCGCGTTTACTTTTCCCATACACACACACAGACACCACCTCTTTTTTATAATAGTATAGATTGGACGTATGATGTTTTTTGCCTCTGAGGACATCAAAATTAAAAAGTAAATCAAACCTGGGGTCAGGTCCCACCATGAGACTTACGATAATAGCTTATTCCTTATATAGGGGACCTTGCAAAAAACAAACAAAAAACTAATATACCTGTTGCCAGCCATAGGTGAAGTTGGTGCAAGCTTGCAACTCTTTCTGACTATCGGAGATGATCTGCAGTACAGTCATATTGACATAAGAAATGCAATCAGCATCAGAGTCAGTTGCATGTGCCTCAACTATTTGATCAAAGCATGAAGTCAAATTTGATTCGATTACGCCATCTTCTGGAAGGTTGTAGGTTTTGGTTTTGTTAATAAATGCATCCCTGGTTGAGTTTAAGTTTGATTCAGCTAATTGTTCCTCATAAATAAGGTTCTGTTTGAAGTACTGGAAGTCCTTATCATCTTCATAGGAAGCAGGTGCTCCAATGATCTAGGAAGTTCATAACATAATGAAAATAGCTATTTAGTATACAAAGCATTTTTTTGAACATATTATTTTACTTTGAACCAGAATGTTTTCCAAATAACACCTTTACTTTGGTTGTCACATTATAAAGTTACCAAGCAAAATGATATTCTCAAACCAGCTGATATCTCAAAACCAACTGAACTATGAGATAACATTATTTTTTGGGTGATTCTGGCAGTCTTGTGTAAAATTGCTATAAAAGTAGTGGTAGAACAATCATTAATCACAGGATAAAATCAAGTTTAACTAAACTTGTGAAGGAAGATATGAAAACTTTTTATGTTAAGGCTTTTTCTTATGGCTGAGCTTAATAATATACTATTATTATATTGAGAAAACAGCTTCATGTTGAATAGGGTACTATCTAGACATTTAATACAGCAGGCAGCTCATAGGTAGTACCATCTTGGAAGGTAGCCAGATGTTGAAGGATCAAGACCACTGCAGTCCAGTCACAACTAATTTATGACTTGTACAGCTGACAATAAAATTTAACCCTTTTTACTTTCTCTCCCTATATACATAGTATATAGGGAAAGTATTGTTTTTGTCAAATTTTTTTAGTTTCAGTTTTGAGTGGTTCAGTTTTCTGTTTTGGGTCCCCTGAGCCCAAAAAGTGGTTTTCGAAGTTATGTCTGTGTGTGTCAGTGTCTGTAAGTGTGGATGTGTACAGAGCTACAGACCACACCTGTAGTCCGTTTTTAATGAAATTTGGTATGTATGTACTAGTCCATAGTATCTCCCAAAGTTTTTTTTTCATTTTATTGAAATTTAGATTTTTAATGGTGATTTTTATATAAAAACTCATAAAATAACGGAAAAATTGGATTTTCTCAAAAATGGCCTAAACAATCTTGATAAGAATTTAGTATGCTGAAGTACTTTAAATTCTGCGAATACCTTGGTACAGATCCTATTTTCGTAAAATTATGGTTCAAAAGTTAGTGTAGCTTATATTATTTTTCCATAATAAAATAAAAAATAATAAAAATTGAATTAAAAAAAACCCCCGTTCTGATTAAAAATTAATGTCTTATGGTCCATTCTAAACAAAATAGTGCAACCCCCCATTGAAACAATTATGGTTCAAAAGTTATTGCAACTTTTGTGATTTTCCTTATAAAATATCATACTTACTCCCACCCCACCGCTTACCCAAGCTAAAGGTTGTTGACAAGCTAATGGGAGAAAGTTATGCGTCACATTGCTGATACATTTTATTTTATAACCTGTGTTCATGCACTGTCTTATAAAAATTCATACTATTTTTAAATAAACAATATCAGCAATCTGACACATACTTTCTGCCATTATCTTGACAACAACTCTTATCATGAATAAGTGGTAGGAGTAACTATAATAATCACAAAAGTTAACATAATTTTTAACCGTGATTTTTTACAGCAATGGTGGTGGTACCGTTTTATTAAGAATTAAAGAGCTACCTATATTAGTCTTTAGCTCTGTACACATGCACAAACACACACACACACAGGCATCACTTTTTTAGATTCAGGGGGACCCAAAACAGATACAGTACTTCCACTCAAAACTCAAACTTGATCATTTTTGTGAAAAGTAAAAATACAAAGTTCTGAGTAGTAGTCTATGCTGACCAACATTAACAGTAAAAAAATCAATTTGTTAAAAATTTTAGACCACATTGTGATTGAATACTTATGTAAGTTCACAGATAATCTAGAATTTATTCTATTCAGTTCACAAAATTAAAATTAGCAACCAAAACATTCCTCATAATTATGGAGATAGTCTTGTTTAGAAAGATATTTTAAAAGTGACATAGCAGGAAGGTCACAGTCATAAGTTCTGATAGTTTAATTGAGTACAGGCATGTGGGTGGAGCCTTTCTTTTGCAAACAGAAATTACCTTATGAGTATAAATAACCGTCCTGGTTAGAAATAAATATTTCAAAAATCATTTAAATTAAAGTTTTTTAGCTAAGGTTTAAAAAGGGTTAAGCATGTGAAGTCCACCTATTTTTACCTATCAGGGTCAAGCTATTCCTTTGACTAGTTTATGTTTTTTTTCTACTACCTGAAGCACTCCCAGAAGAAGAAGACTGAAGACTGCAGTCAAACGCTGGCTGGAGACTGTCATGATGAGAAATGTAATGTCAAATGTACTTGTGATCCATTTATATACCTCTCCGCTATCTGGGATTATCTTATCGTCAATAACATACTTTTAGAGCTCACTGTATTAATCCCGTCATTATATCAGTTACTTTCATAGAAACATTCAACTATTTTTGTTTGACACTTCCTCTCTAAATAAGCGTCAAGAGACTCTTGTGCGTTGGTGATGGTATAAGGAAATATAACACCCGATTCCCATGGATCATATTGACACTTATTTATTTTGACAGATTTCCGCTTACTACATCACTTTAGAGTTTGTAGGTTATGTGCAATATTGTTATTTTTCGTCAAACAATTTTTGTCTCACTGGAAAATTAGTCTAACAATAATTACCTTTGTGAGCTAACAATATAACATTTACTTTTAGAAACTGAACTAGTTTCATAATTTTCTTCCTCCCTTTTTCTCCTATTGCTTTAGTTATACCATTGACTATGAATCCTTAATGGTTATACTATACCGGGTGTCCCATAATAGTCCCCCCTGGTTAATTTTTGAACGGCTGCATATATTCAAACGAGCTTCAATACAATTTACTAGGGTAATGTATAGTACTTTTTTGTGGTACTCCCAAATAGGGGTTGCTGGGGGTAACTTACAATTTTTAAATAGCAACCTTTATCAAGTAACACATCAAAAGCTTTCAAAAATACCAAACAGGGGTTGCTGGTGGGTCTTGGATTTTGTTTAATGCAAATACCTATTCGGGAGTAAATTATGAAATTCAATATCATATTAAAAAGTTCGAGACATCCACATGTACTATAGGTTATTTGAAAATTTACAGCCATGGAAAAAATAAAAGTGATAGCTTGTAAAGAACAATAATAAGAACAATAAGGTGTATCAGCAATCAGACGTATACTTTCTCCCCTAAGCTTTCCCATTTACTGTAGAAGTGTAGTAAAAAACATGTGTCTTCAATTCTTTATTATTGTTTTGTTGTGTTTGTAAACAAGTCCATTATAATTCAATGTAGTACTGTTCAAGTTATTAAAAACCTTTCTAAAGGTAATAAAAGTTCTTTTCATTCATTCTTACTCTCATTACAATTTTTAATAACTTGAACAATACTACGTTGAATTATAATGGACTTGTTTACAAACACAACAAAACAATCTATATATTAATTTGAAACCGTTTTTCTTTGTCATAGCTAAATTGAGAGAACGGCTAGGCGTAGAAACTCGGTAGAGGTGTCTAAAGAAAGGTCTTGGTCTGTAGATGAGCCAAAAGAGAAACGTGGTAAATTCCCTTGGGGCTCTGCCCCAGTGGCCTTTGAATTCCCATCCCATGTTATTCTTATGGAGGAAAAACTGGGTTTTTGTTCCAGCTAATTTGAGAGAACGGCTGGGCGTAGAAACTTGGTAAGGGTCTCTAAAGAAAGGTCTTGGTCTATAGATGAACCATCAAAAGAGGAACGAGGTAAATTCCCTTGGGGCTCTGCCCCAGAAGCCTTTAAAGTTGCCTCTTCAAATTTGTTTACCATATGCATAATTCTACACTTCTTTTTAATGAAACAGCTGTTAATATTTAAATTGTGATTTATGGAATTTTTCAAAATGAAGTACAGTATTTGCAATGGGTTTTTCTTATTTCAAAATCGATTTTATTCTGCATCGTGTCATGTTTTGCAATATAATGTTCTATTACCAAATCAGTGGAAAATCCTAATATCACAGTAACTCTTAAAATTATTTCTTATGGAGTTAACTTATAATCTATTGTATGGCTTGGTTTCTGCTTTTTTTTACCACTTCTTGGAGATTGTATGTAGGTGATATTCTTTGGCTAATTGCATCTGTAGACGAAACTTGGGTTGGTGAAATTATTACAATGGAAAAAAGCGAGAAATCCTGGACAATTTGATATAGGCTAAAAGTAAAACTGAATTAACAATATGCTACATTTCTTGAGCAATCATTGAAATAACCAATTTGCAAACAATGGAAACATAGAAAAAATCATAGAACACAACCAAGTAGAAGAAAAGAAATAATGTGTTTTTTTTTTTAATTAAAATCGTTATTAGGCCTATAGACAACCTAATGCGGCTATGAGAGGGAAAAATTTGTAGAAACACTAAAAAACAAGATCAGCTTTTTGAGAAAAGATAAGATATTTACAAAAGATTTTGATTATATCTAACTGTTGCGTAGATCGTGTGTATTTCCATAAATTTTGTGAGTCGCCTGTAATGCTTCGCAATTGCTCGAATTCGAGCAACAGGTAGGTACACTAGTAATAAAGAATTGAAGACACATGTTTTTTACTACAAGAAGTATGAAATATTATGGGGAAGTTGCAATATCTTTTAAACCGTGATTTTTATAGCAATGGATGATGTAGCATACCATTTTGTTTACAGTCATAAGGAGACCATGACATACTAAAATTAATTAAAATTGGCGGAGCTGGATTTTCAAAGTCTGACTTTTTTGTTACCGTATTGTATTTTATGAACTGTAATTTTTTCAGCAATGGATGTTGTTTTGTTTTATTTAGGATTAAAGTAGACCTGTTATTTTAGGGGTTTTTTTATAGGAAAATCACTATTTAAAATCAAATTTTTTTTAAATTCAAAAAAGGCTGTGGACACCATGGATCAGTATACTCACAGACTAAACTTCATCAAAATCGCCTATGTGGTCTGTAGCTATGTACACATCCACACGTACAGACACACATACAAACATAAAATGTCCAAATAATAATTAGTTGCATATTTTAACCCAAACATGAGTGAAGGAGAGTAGAATGGAGTGAGATGATCTATGTGGCTTTCTTACTGACTAAGATCTCTGGTTCATCAGTCAGGATTATTTATTTAAAGCCTAATGATCAGGAACAGTTGGGTCCTGTTTTGAACCATCAACAACTTTCACTGGCTTTTCTCAGTATCGAACCGGCGACCTTTTGATTGTTGAGGCGAGCTTTTTAACCACCCAGCTTCCCAGAATCGCTCTATTCTTCTACATTCTTCCAGTGTAAGAAATATAGGCTTCTATATCTACAATTTGTTATCTTTAATCAATGTTGCATAGGTGGAACACTATTTTATTAAAGTGTCTACAGAAGATAGGTGTGGCTGTTCCTGATACAGATGGAAGTCAAAAGATGATTGTGTATCCAATTGTAATTTCACTTTTATCTTTGTAAGATTTGTCCATGAAATGTACCTTACAAAGTGTTGACTCATTCAACTTACCACCCAATTAAATTTATCTTATCTCTTGATAAACTGAATATGTATCTTCCAAGTACACTTTTACAACAAAAGAAAACTCTTGCAAATTGCACTGCAATAACGATGATTAGCAAAGTGGTTTTTTATCTATGTGATTAAGTTTTTATCAATTGCAACAGGAAAATTGATTCATAAGATTTCAGCTTAGTTTCCTTACTGTGATAGATAAATAATAATAAAACTTTCTTTTCCTCCTTATATTCCGTTGGAGGGTTGTCAAATGATCCGAAAAATGTCCAAATTGTTGTTAGCTCAATAATTCTTATACAATTTGAATTTGTCTAGTTTTAATCATCTTTTTAGTACGAATTTGTACACCAATACAGTCCTGCGGTAATCATGTGACACACTATGGGTCTGAAAATCTGTATTTGCGCCCCCAATTCCCTTCCTTGCGGAGGATTTTTTTCTTCCATGCGCCCCCGACCGATATTAAACCTATTACGTCCCTGGGCTGGTGAGGTCCACAAACTCCAAATTTTACCAACTCCAACAGTAAAAATTTAAATAAACAGAGCAATTCACAAACTCAAAGTTTCATGAACTCGAATAGTATTAATTTAAGTACCAGGGAACCGAGCAATGCTCGTTTTTGATTTGTTCAAGAGATTAAAAGAATAAAACCTATATGCCTACAAATGTTTTCAGTTTTGCTACGATTAATTAAGTTGTAAAGTCAATTCGTTTTCAGTAATTCACTCATTCTTAATTAACCCAACAAACTTTAGCAAAACCTAGCAATCTATATTGAAAATTTCTACAATAAACTTCAATATAAAAACTCATAATACATAACTTCTGTTGACCGTTATTGCGTTACTCTCTCTGATCGTGAAACAACGCATCAATTTCGGCGGTGCATCGTCGAAAACTACAACACGTCGTTGGCATTTACTCTAGACTTTTAGTTTAATATTAGTGTATAACGTTTTGTGGTGAAAGACTTTACGTTTTTGAACAGTCGTAATTATCCCTTTGGTAAGTAATACCTACATCATACACCCCAAATAATGTATTATATAACCAATGCTCAATCATTAATAGGAATGTCCTTTTCCTTTGAACAGTATTTTTTAATTTGCTACACAGTAGATGATTTGTTACAAGCATATGTTAATGTTATAACACATGAATTATGTTATGAATTAATTATGCTATCGGCTTACCATCAAAAGGTTGACGTCCCAGGATATTGACTATCACCTTGAAAAAAAACCAGAAAAAACCTGAAAATTTACTATGGTGAAGGAAAACAGAAATAATCAAATGTATATTTATGCCACATTTATTGGAGAGACGATACAAAAGTAGCTACTTAGGAGAGTTAATCATTAGTCCGAGTTTGATGCCGAGAGCAGTGAAGCCGCGGGTGGCAGTTACACGGAGTAAAGCGACGTTGGTAGAGGCGAGAATAACAGCGCCTTCTAGATATACAGCATAGGCAACTCTGACAGGTCCGTACGTGGAGGCTACACCTCCAGCCGCAGTGAAGTCCAGTGGAAACAGCATCATCTGGGGTGTGAAAACACAAGGAACTTTACATAAACACATTACAGAACGAGAGTAGCACACAATGAATTTCATAAGATATGTCCTCATCTGCTATATTGTAGTAATATACAATAATGATATAAATATGTAAACCTTCGGCAATTCAGGTCTCGTGTCTTATTGGATAAAATATAAATAATTTGCCGTGGTCCAATAGTCTCTTGATTATCGGTTTTTTTGTTTATCCGAACTTTCCTCCTGACGACTGACTTCCAAGAAATCATATGCTACGAAGTGAGTAAATCGAGATTATCACTTGTGCCACCCCAGTCTCTACCTAGAACATCTTTGGGGCCAAGAGCTTAAGACATCTACAGTTGACTGTACTTTATGATTGTTTTAGCAAGCTGCATACCACAACCTACATAGTTTGTCAACTCCTCCCTTACACCTTTGTATTTGTCTGTTGAGCTAAATTGTAAATAGTGTAAATATTATTTTTAGTTTATCCTTGACACAGAAATTCTGGTCAACAACGTCGCAGCAGGTATTAAATCTAACCCTCTAAACCTCAGTGCTAACAGAGACCTCAGGCAGTATTAACTGATTTTTTACAGTTACAGTAGTGGTGTTTATTTGTCAGTTTTCTTTTTATTATTTGAGTTGATGGCTTAAAAACAGAAAAAAAACTGATTTCAATGGAAAACAAACTAAAGACTTAACATTTTTGAAAACGGAACATGTGATAACAAGGATTTGTAGAAAGAGGTTCTGTGTATTTTGATTTTGATATGGCTACTGAAAGATCAACTTGAATTTTATTCTACAGGCAAAACTCGCTAGAAATTACAAATTAAACATTAGAGGAAGAGTTTGACCTTTGTCTCTGTTGAAAGTGTTCCTTTTAGACTGGGACCTAAATATAGGAATCATGAAAACTGATATTCTGGCTAGTTATTGTTAACATCTTTTTTCAACCAAATTGCCCAACCAAATTACTTACCTCCGGAAAAGACTTTCCCCTAAGCACCCCAAACAAGACGAGACCTGTGCTGTAGTACAGGGGGATTGCCACAAAAGGGAAAAACTTTATCCATGAGGGAGGAGGAGGGGGAGTATCATCCGGAGTGAATATGTCCGCTGGCCACTCCTCGTCATCTGCGTTCCCTGGAATAAACAAGCGAATATCACAGAATTGTATCTGCAAACGTAACATAGTTGTTTAAAATTCTCAAGTGACCAAGTTAGATCTAATCCAACAAATTGTTCCAAGTCTTTCAACTGAAAATTGTCCAACAAGAATGCAAAACTTACCTTAATTTTGCGATGCAAATGTTAATAAAAAAAATTGATTATGTATTCTGTTTGAATCCAAAACGTTCTAGTACAAGCTCAATACCCTTTTTTAAAGTAGCCGTTTCAGTTCAGTTCTTAGAATTTAAAAGATTCACTTAACAGCATTGTTTAGAGTTTACTTACATAGCATTTTTTACTCTACAACAAGAGTAACGGACCAATGAGGTCCAAGGAATGAGAGAAGTAACAATTGTAATGCTTTGAATGTCAACTAATCAGCAGTTAAGACCAATTTAATTGTTAATGAGTGGTGCAATTAATTAGTGGTTGGTACAATTAGTCATTGCATCACTGTCAGTGGCAATGAGAGGTTATAAATTGAAACATAACCTCTCTTAGAAGTTATGAGTAGTGATAGTAAGTAATTAAAAAACGGTCGTAGGAAAAGTAGTGTACACAACTCCCGTAAATAGTCTGAATGGCACTCACAAGGGCTCGTACTTTAAATTTCTACTTGGCTAGTTAACACTATATTTAAACGACTGATGCGTGAACTACTATAAAGGAACAAAGAGGCCAAAAACTAAAAGATGCTTATTACAGAACCAAAATAAAAATAGAAACACTAACGTGTGGTAAGTTTCTTCCGCCACCGCTTGAACTTGCGCTCAGTGACACGGGCTAGATGGTGAATCTTGACCCCAAGTAACAGTCCGATGTTGAGAACCAAGAGAAGATGAACTGGGATGCCCAGGCCAGCGAACAGCACGGCACTGATACGACCAGTGACTGTGCGAGGCACTGGGGCTCCAAAACCTGCAATGCCAAGTCAAGCTACAGATTAGGAAGGATATTTCATATAAACAGCCTTACTGTATTTTAGGAGGGTAAAGAGATCATACGAATGATTACAAAGGGGTTTTCAGGTTTAGAGCTACAAACTTCAACAGTGTATTTGACTAAAACATCTATTTTTGGATACTGAACTGAAGTAGATATTTAATATATAAGTTATCTACAATAGAACTCCAACTATCCGGATCAATCTGGAAACGGACCTAATCAGGATAATCAAATACCCAGATGATTGGAGTTTTGTAGAACAAATTTTATAACAGTATCATTAGGCACAACCATTGCTTGCCAATCGATATGACACTACAGTGCTACAGTACTCACTGCGTGATGGACACAATTGGTACACATATTTCAAGTATTAATGTAATACTTTAAAAAAATTATGGAACTAATAAATGTAATTTTTTCTAGCCGAAACCAGGTGATTTAGACAGTTGGCGATCTGGATAAGTGGATTTCAGACAGGAGGAGATCTACTGTATATTGATGCAATTTTTCTTGTTTAGTTGTATTTAAAAACCCGTTATCATGAACAAACTTTGCACAGACAACTTGAAAGAGAAGTTGTATTCTAAATTTGCTCACCCAGTGTGGTAAGTAAGGAGGTAGCAAACAACAGACAACCACTGTATGTCCAGATGGTTCCTCTCTGTGGATATCCTGACGCTACAGCTGACAATATGAGAGACTCGTGGTGTGTGGCGTAGTGTTCTATAGTGGTGCGCCACACTGGCTCTTCTGGCACTACCTGTCAAACATGGCACTTGAGTAAGGAGGTAGCAAACAACAGACAACCACTGTATGTCCAGATGGTTCCTCTCTGTGGATATCCTGACGCTACAGCTGACAATATGAGAGACTCGTGGTGTGTGGCGTAGTGTTCTATAGTGGTGCGCCACACTGGCTCTTCTGGCACTACCTGTCAAATATGGCACTTGAGTAAGGAAGTGATGAACAACGAATATACAGGCCTTAGTCAGTAAAAAACTTGCTTGAGGAATAATAATGCTGTACTCAGCCGGCACACATACTTATTCTTAAATATATCATGGTACACCTGAGTCTGGTGTAAAGGATCAAGGAGGGCACAATTATTGAGCAAAGAGGATCACAGTATCTCTCAAACAGTTAATTTTTTAACATCTTCATCTGTACAATTTATCCGTTCAAACAGTAGGCGTATCTCTTGTTGTGTCAACATAAAATGTTTTTGGAAAGTTTACAAAAATTATGTTGGAAAGACCAATTTGTCTGAGGGAGAACTAACCGATTTTCTAAATGAAAACGGAAGCTAGAAGCTGAAAAATTGTCCACATGAAGCTTAGTTCAATATCTTTTGAAGAACTAAAATATTCAGCCACTTTAATATTTTAGCACAGATATTGTTTTAACTTTGCTTTGTAATGTTTTTTGCAGAACCTCTTGTTGCATCAAATCTTAAGAGCGAAAAAATACCAATTAATCTCAAGTAGGAAATTGGTCCCATTAAATGCACCACTTCAACTATCTTGACAAGGCTAAATGGACTACTTAATGTCTTCAAATCAAGTGTTTACCTGCCGAAGGTCTGTTGCTAAGCCAACCACTAGCTCTGTCTGACGGCGGTTCATCTCTTGCACCTAAAAACCAAAATATACTTCGCTATAAATATAATAATGTATAATTTTCTTATCTGTTTTGAAATTTACAAAAGAAAAATGGATTCATAGTTTGCAAGTATTAGCCAGGCAGCTATGTGGGAGCTGTACAATCGGGTACAATTAAAGTGTTATAAGGATGTCATTTTTCTTTTCCCAATTAAAGTTCCTGACTAATTTCCTTCAATAAATAGTGTTATGATAATTTTTTGTTGGGCATCACTCACCTTATTGAAATCACGAGAACGCAGTCCTTGTCATGTCACAATCATACACAGTTCATTGCACATAAAAATATACAAAAATAAAAATAAAATTAAAACTAAATTTAAATTATCAGACAATAGTTCTCAACACCGAGGTTTCGCCGCACCAAAATCAACGTGCAGCGTTTTCAAGGTTATTTTTCTTCTCACACAATCGTTGTGAGCGCCTAACCACGATTGACCCGTCGTGATATGTCAGTCGTGGTTAGGCGCTCACAACGATTGCGTGAGAATTGGTGCGGCGAAACGTCGGTGTTGAGAACTATTATCTGATAATTTAAATTTAGTTTTAATTTTATTTTTATTTTTGTATATTTTTATGTGCAATGAACTGTGTATGATTGCGACATGACAAGGACTGCGTTCTCGTGATTTCAATAAGGTGAGTGATGCCCAACAAAAAATTATCATACTGAAGTATTGACCTCACCTAATATACCATGTCGTTTAGGAATAAATAGTGTTATGGTTATTAAAACACTGAACAGTGCTTGTATGATGTGTCAGCGACACATAGCAAGCAATAAACCACTTGACGATTGTGATTGACTGTTGGTGATTGTGTTGTAGTGATTAAGCGTGAACAATCAACTGATGCTATTGGACAAAACAATGGTGGCAGGTAGAAAGAGGGACGGGAGTCGTAGGTGACCGTCCAATGGCAGAGCGGCATAGCCGAAATAGATGATGGAGGGGGAGTAGGGGGGAAGAAGGTTATGATCTTGACTGGATTATTTAGACCATATTAAACATCGTATGGTGTTTTAATGCTCAGCGCATTCATCTTGTAAGCAACCGTACAAAAAATAACAATATTTTATCCTATTATCACTTTATGGTAAATTAACACTGTAGTGCATCACACCATTTTAACACCACTGGTTTGCTGGTCATGTTATTATCTTATTCCTTAAAGTCTGAGTATATTTTGATAATTTGAGTCACACAGTCTACATTACCTCTGCCTTGGTTAACCCTAGAAACATATCGTCATACAATACGTAGCTAAGGGTATCAATACGTAAATTTGACGTACTGCCGGCCATTTTACTATACAGAAAGGGTATTGACACCTAAGTTTGACTAATGAGTTCCAAGAAACCAACTAGCAAGGACACAAAGAAACATACTACGACCCAACCAAGGCACTCGCAACTGATTGCTGAGAGCACTGCTGGAAGGAGGGTAGCGTCGGTGTAGGGATTGGGTAGTGGGACACTAAAAGTAACTCACCCTACGTCAAATTTACGTGGGATACCCATCAAGGGACAACTCTAGCTTAAAATTGATCTTTTTCAATTTGGCTTGCTTAAAAAGTTGGTGTATACCATCAAGAATCATTAATATTGACATCATCGCACTATATTAGGGACTGAATCAACTATGTTAATTTTTATCACTGGCTACAAACTTAACATTGGAATACAAGTTCTACTTCAGTGTTAAAAAGGCATAGGTCACACTAACTATTTGGCATGATATACCATATCTGTGAAAATTGCAAAGATGGAAACTTCAACACCTACAAAACACAGCTGTTACCTGTGAGTATTCTCTGGGTGCTTCTGTCAGACGGAACACCAAAGCTCCGATGAATGCCCAGGTCAGTATGATACACGTCAGACCACATTGACACAGCACTAACCTCACCAACTTCAGTAGAGTGGTCTCTGACTCCTGTACAGACAACACTATAATTCAAACAGGTCACTTAGTGTTAAGTTACCGTAAATCTTATCTTTACTTTTTCATCAATTCACAATTTTACGTAGTAGGTTAGGATCGGATTTGCCTGGTATGTTTTGTATGAATTTAAATTAGATAAACAGTTTCTTATGACTAGCTACTTTGAATATTTAACAAGCAAAATTTTAAAACCAAGAAGTTGTAGTGAAGTGAAAATATTTAATAAATCTCAAGACGAACACATTCAAGCGTTCAGCTTGAAACTGGAAACCGTCAGTTAAATAATTCACGTTTTGTGGGTAAATATTCACCAAAGTTCGCAGAGGCTTCGTAAACATTTAGTGGAAAATTCCTTTTACCGTAAAGAGACTTTAGTATACGGGGTTTTAGCTTATTCATTGTAATCAAACTTTAAACTTGATGCCCCATATTGTTCTCAAAAAACAAATGTAATGTTTAAGTTCCAAACCACACAAAAATTATCTGCCTAATCAATAATTGATATGAAATCAAGTACAAACTACCAAAACAGAACAAAGTCTATTGCAGTTTTGTACATGTACACCATCTTGACTTTATCTTGACTGAGAAAACCTCACAAATTTTGAAAGCCCCTTAAGGTAAGGTAGTTTTTGTTGTACTTTTACTAATCACCTTTGATTTACCCAAGTATATGCACATACAATCGACAAACTGAATCCATCATTTACTCAACCAAAGAGTAAATATAATTAATTTCTTTAATTTCCTATTAAATTACAAAAAAAAAACTATACATTTCATGAGTTACTTATATTTATAAATTGACAATTTTTGATTGTAGGTTTTACATAATATATTTCTTAGGGTCTGTCTCTTCAGAGGTGCAAGCAGTATTCCTTTATAGGATTCTCCTTTTAGTCAATCTTTGAGGTTAAAAAAGTTAGTTCTTAAACGATGATTTCTTAGCTGGCTCTTTAGGGTTGTAAGTGTTTCTTTATAGGATTCTTCTCTTAGTCACTCTTTGAGGTTTAAAAAGCTAGTTCTTAAATGATGATTTCTTTGTTGTTTCTTCAAAGATGCAAGTATTCCTTGAGAGGATTCTCTTTTAAGTCGCTTTTTGAGTTTTAAAAGGTTAGTTCTTAAATTGTGGTTTCTTAGCTGGCTCTTCAGAGGTGCAAGTATTCCTTTAGAGAATTCTCCTTATAGACACTCTATGAGGTTTAAAAAGTTAGTCCTTAAATGATGATTTCTTAGCTGCGTCTTTAGAGGCACAATTTTTCACTAGAGTATTCTCACTTTTTGTCACTCTTTGAGACAGAAAACTTCAAGTTGTTTTTCAAAATTCTTCAAATTGTCGATTCTTCTTTGATTATTGAAGCTATTCAAGTTGCGATATTCTTGTTCTTTTTTATCAAGCTGTTTTGAAAAGACACTTACCCAATACGATGTCTTTTCCAACGAATCAAAATCAGGTAGGTTAATTCAGGGGAAAAGTGAAGCACAACTTCAACGGGAAGAAGAAGGTCCCAACTAGAGAGCCATAATGGCAAATAAACGCAAATGTCTTAATTAATCTGTACATTAAGTCCATGATTAATACAAATTTAAGTAAGATTTAATCACCATGGTTTTTTTTTATTATTGTTATAATAGTTACAGATATTATACTAGCCTACTACAAAAGATTAGTGCTTAAGTCGTTTTAGATCTCAAATACTATAGTCAACAAAATTCATTTAAACTTACATTGGAGCAAAATATTTCATTGTTGATGGTGTATACATAGTTATTACCTACCAACCTAATAATGATTTTATGTCATGTGAACATCTCATTCAACAAACAAACTCTTGAAATTCCAGTAAAAATATTAAGATTTTGGTTTCCATTTTGTTTTGTTCCATTCTGTACAGTGAATAAAATAGATGTTAGATTTATTTAAGAGGTAATTCTGGTCCAAACGCTGTTTCACGTTAAAATATCCTGTTTGATGATCACTCTATATTATCCATAGAGCTGTCTTTTGTATATTACCCCATCATAGCCTTACTACTCGCTTTGCAAAAAACCCCTCCTTGCAACAATAGAATGATAATTGTATGATAATAATATTGAACTCCAAGTGCCTATTTGAGGTTCTACTGGTGTATTTTTTTCAGATATAAGGCAAAACAAGCAGATTCTTTTCCTAGTACACCAATGGATTACAATTTTCCAACTAGTATAATGAATGATTGTTTCATGTACTTAGAAACATTCAAATGAATTAATGCCTGATTTTTTTTAGAATGAACTTAGTTGATTGTTTGATCAAAGTCATTGATACAAGCTGACCATTTTGAAAATATGATATAATTTTTGAGCAAAACTTGTTCATTTGCTAGCTTTATTAAGATTTTACTTAGTCAAATGTCAGTCCGTCAATTTGTGAGGCTACACCAGCTGTTGATCAAACTTATATTCTTCCTGAATACTTTTTTTCAGACAATTGATTTTAATGAGGACAGAATTTTGAAGCTTGTAAAAAATACCATAAGCGCACAAGTGTAGCCTATAATGATTTAATCAATGAAATAAAGTAAGTCGAAGTTGTAAAATTTATATAGTAAATTAATTGTATTTCAAATGTTGTTTCTCATCATCTGAAGTTGCTTTCCAAAAGGCCTCAAACAGTTACTTTCCGAGGTAACAGACTAACCCTAGTTTTATCTTTTGGTATAATTTTGACTGTTGTTCTAAAGCATGATTTTATTACACCAACAATAAATAACAATAAATGTTGCCAAGTGTGATCCATCTCAGCATTAAATCATCAATATTTGCATTGGAAAACAAGCACTACTAAGCACTTAACCAGTCAATCATTAAAGAGTGTAGCTTTTGAGATATCCATACATATCAGAGTGTGAGATAGCAAAAATGTTTGTCATTTAAAACATTTTTCATATGATTTTGCAATAGATCTTCAAGATTAATTAATAACAATCAGTGTTGTAGTATGGTGAGAACAAGTGGAAAAGGCCACTCTGCGTTTAGCCTACATTGGTAAGCAACCCTTCAGCAACCATGGGTAGCATTCCTGCTCTTGAAAATGTATGGCTACCCCACTGATTAAAATATACGGTATTTAAAATAAACACATAAAAAAAATTAAAACTATGTTTTTATACTGACTTGTATACATGCATAGAACACATAATAACCAATTTTGCATCACTTTTAAGGACACAGGCATTCCATTCCCGTGTTAGGTTAGAATCTGTTTTAATATATAAAAATTTGTTAAATTGAGCTACCGACCGAGTTTGCTGGTGTAAATTACTATGTTAGCAAATTTCCGTATAGGGAACAAGCTATTACCGTAGATCGCATGGTAAGACCTGGACCCGGGACCGATTTGCTTTTTTGTTTTGAGGTCCCCAGAGGCCAAAAACACCCTCCGTTCAAATTCATATATATATATATGTGATAGTGCGATAAATCGAGCAAAAATGATCCGATTTTGATGAAATTTAGTACAAACATATTAACCTATGTTTATTTTATTCAAACGAGTTCGCAAACCAGCATGATCAGACTATGGGAACAGGGGTTTCTGAGGTTTTTTTTGGTAAAAATTGGTTATTCCCATTTTTTACCCTAAAAACACAAAATTTCTTAAATTCTTTCCAAACTATTTTGTAGAGCAAAACAGAAATAATTTTGTATATTGGAGCCTTGTTGTATGCCTAACGGATACAGAGATATAATATAATAAACTGTTTTAGTTTGCTTGTTTATGGATATATTTTAATCAAATTTGGCTACTTTATTCATTTCATACAAAGCTATCGACATTTCAATAAAAAAACACACCTCAATAACCCCTGTAAACACACTGTAGCAGCAAACCTAAGCACTCATTAAAATTAATGTTTATTTATATAGGAAATAAATCTGACTCTTTTAAGGGAATATTTTAGTAGAAATCCAGCCAGGAGCCTTTCTGCTATCCTAGTCCTATCTAGCTGCTATCCTCCTTATTTAATAGCTGTATCAATAGTCAAAGACACTAAACACTGCTTACTGACCTGCCAGTCGGGATGAGGCAAGACTCTCAGACGGAAGGGAGGGTAAGGCGTAGCTTGGACTGCAACACTCTTCGTTCCTCCGTCTCCTCCTTTCCTCTTCTCATCTCCACTGTCTAATTCTATCGACTCAAACTTATCCTTCCCATATCCTATTACTCTTTGTCCCTCTACTTTACTGGTCTTTCCTTTCTTCATCCCTTTCTCAACATCTGTAGGGATTGAATAAACAGTCTGTTTACTCTCTACAGGAGCTCCATTCAATTTGGGTTCCTTCGGTTCTTTGGTTGTGTTGTCTCTTTTTAACTTCTTAACTTTTTCGTTTATCCTTTCCATGAATGTTTTATCCCCTCCTTCCTTTCCCGAGGATTTCTTAGTTTTGACGTAATCTTCATGGTCACTATCTCTCTCTAACTCATCGGCAGAGTCGTATCCTCTTGAGTTTTTCGACTTTTTAAAATTTGCGGAGTTCTTATCACTTTTATCAATACTCATATCCTCTTCGGTTTCTTCATCAGACAGGCTCCGACTTCTGCTTCGTCCTCTTTTCTTCACTTGCTCGTTGTATGTGTTTGTGTTGGTGGCTTGTTTGCTCTTCTTTTTGTCGTATACTCGCCCGATGAACATTTTTTCTCTTTTGCGCTTGGAGTAATTGTGAGAACGTCTATTCCTCGAGATCTGTAACATAACATATTAGACTAAACATTTGCTTTAGAATATTTTTTATAATTTTTCAAGCTTCAACTTTTTTATATTTTATCAAGCTACAAACAGCTTCTCTATTCTTTTTTGAAAAATAACACTGACAACTTCATTGGATGGAAGCAATATTGATTCATTTACCTCTCCTGATATTGGATTTAAAGAACATTACCAAAATCAGTGTGATCCAAACCTCTTTACCTTCCATAATTTTGAGTTAAAACATAATGATGCCTTAAACCATATTAGTCTAGTCACAAAGTAATTCATATTTGAGGCGAGCGTCCATTTCACACCATATCGTGTTGCTATGACAAGACTATTTCCCTGCATTAAGGTGGGAACTGGCTGGAATAGTGAGGATGAAGTAAACAGCGACGTCAAATTAGAACTAGCTAGCTAGGCCACAAAAGGAGCTTGTCGGACACATTAATTTACAGCACAGTGAAGTAAGGTACAGAGGAAACATTCGAAGGTGCACGTAAGTGGATTCTAGCACTAGTAGCTATCTATAACAATGTTCAACACCCCGACCCCTTCGTATACTACATCGCCCACAGTGGAGCAAGACCCTCTGGCCTTTCCGATAGGAATTTCCGCAAAGTGCTCTTCGCACGGACACTTCCTTACTTGGCACAATATAAAAAAACATACGATCATCCCAAAAGCAAGATTCTTCTATACCTTAGTTCTCTGTGCACAAGCAACCCTTGGACCTGCAAAACTGTGCATTATTGACATGATTTCCCTATAGATTATTGTAACATCATAAACAACCCGTAGTAAAAATGTCAATAACAACCGTTAACAGATCGTACCCACCTGTACAATAACCTGTGTGTGCGGACAGCTGGGGCGTATGTGTGAGGAGGTGGAGGGGATATACCCAGGTATCGGAGGAGAGATAGTTTGTGACCGGAGGTGCGCAGAACTGGCGACACTGTCCGGTATAACACTGGGGTACATGGGCAACACCGAACACCTACCCTCCCCAAAACTTGTCCGGTTCGGAGGCATTTCAATATTTTTTCTGGGGCGATGTGATTTAAATTAACTGGAATTTATAGTTCTGATGATTCCATCTGTCAATCTCAATGAAAGTCTGAAATGCTATTCATAAAGCTTGCAAAACGCTCAACAAGTTTTATTCATTATTTGAAACAAATAATGCATTTATGAAATAAATAAAACTAATCTAACAATTACCTTAATCTCAATGACACTCGTAAAGCTTTTTATACCTGTCAAAGCTTTTTTTAATCTTGACATAATCTCAATACATTGTATTGTCTTTCCTGTTAAAAAGTTCACCATCTACTCAAAATTTTCAATTAAATAAAAATTCAAATGCATTATTGTGTTGAAAGGTAAAATATAAGAGAAACTATTGTGTAACTAAAGACATTTTCCTTCAAAAGAAATTAAAATTAATTTGATCTGTATAAACTATGCACTTTGGAAATATATAAAAAACACACTTTTGTTTTTACTCAATTATAGAAAATGTATAACTCTTTTAACCATAAAGATGAATTTTTGTGTATTTTGTGTATTTGTGTATTGTAAAAGTCCTGTTATGAAACACTAAAAAGACAAAATAAATTCCATATATTTTCCCAGCATATAAACATATATTATGGGGTATTATGAATTTTCACTTTTACTGAATTTTACAAACAAATGAGTCAATTTAAAGCTTTTAGATCTTATAAATATATTCAATTATGGAAACAAGAACTGGCATTAAGATCATGGGAGTTTCAACTAATGTTTGATTGAGTTATTTGCTTGAGTGTTGAAATCATACATTTGGAACCAGTAAATTTTAACTTTCAGTCTGGCAAATCGTTTTGATTAACTATGTAGCCAAAATTAAGCTAACTATGTACGGTCACAGAAAACATACTACTACAACCCAGAATGCCAACTGCGTGGTAAAAAGCATTAAGTGTTTTGAGAGAGCTTTGCCTGTCAATCGTAGGCAGCGCCACCAGCGTTGCTATGCTGAGTGCATGGCAACGCTGGTGGCGCTGCCTACAATTGACAGGCAAAGCTCTCTCAAAACACTTAATGCTTTTTACCACGCGGTTGGCATTCTGGGTTATAGTAGTATGTTTTCTGTGGTACGGTACCAGTAAATTAGTTCTAAACTAAATGTCATTCAAATTTAATTTAATCTCAGCTCATTTTTTCTAAGCTATTGCACATACTAACTCTTAACGAATGAATAATGTTTTAAATATTTCCTTTGTCCAGAACTTAATTCTCTAAATAAATGTATAACTAAATATACAGGGTGACCGTTAAGTCTTAGGACGACTTTATAACTTTTAAACGACAAACGATATCACAACCACATTTGGTATACCGTTACTGGAAATTGTAAGCTACTTTTCTGTGTACATGGTGGTCGGATATCACCTTTGGGGGACGGCCCGTCGGGGGTCAGAAGAAAATCTTTAATGACAGCCTATGTTGAGTTGTACATCAATTTAAAGGTCTACTTCAACTGAAAACAATGCCGCAAACCGCACTTCAAAAGGTTGATCCTGCGCAAAATGGCAGATGTTCAAAGATTTTCAAAATTAGCCAATTTCTTTAAATTAAAACACTTTTTTAAATCTTTAAATAACTGTCTTTTTTTAACGGATGGTCCTGTTGAAGTACGGTTTGCGGCATTCTTCTTTGCTTAAAATTCCCTTTAAAATGATCCCCATAACTTCACATTCAGTGATCCAAATAACTCTTCAGGGCGACGGCCCACAAGGAGTCGGAAGTAAATCTTGAGTGGAAGCATAGGTTGATATGCACATCAAATTAAAGGTAATTATTTGTAGAATACAATGCCGCAAACCGTACTTCAAAAGGACCATCCGTTAAAAAATGATAGTTGTTTAAAGATTTAAAAAAGTGTTTTAATTTAAAGAAATTGGCTAATTTTGAAAATCTTTGAACATCTGCCACTTTGCGCAGGATCAACCTTTTGAAGTGCGGTTTGCGGCATTGTTTTTAGTTGAAGTAGACCTTTAAAATGATGTACAACTCAACATAGGCTGTCATAAAAGATTTTCTTCTGACCCCCGACGGGCCGTCCCCCAAAGGTGATATCCGACCACCATGTACACAGAAAAGTAGCTTACAATTTCCAGTAACGGTATACCAAATGTGGTTGTGATATCGTTTGTCATTTAAAAGTTATAAAGTCGTCCTAAGACTTAACGGTCACCCTGTATATAAAATTTATGATAAATATAAAATTTGAATATCTATAAAATTTGATAGTTTAGCACTAAAGTTATTTTTCCAGATCAATTTTTCATAATATGTTACTTTTTTGTTACTTTTTAAGAACATTTGTCACACTAGAAAACTCATTGAAGATACCTGACAGTTTAAGGTGTTATTTTATTAATGATAGGTAACTTAACTCATTTTTAATTCAACTTATAACACCTAATATCTGAGTTCATGTCTAATTCTAAATTGGGGATTTTTAAGAACAACCAGTTGAGCAAGGAGTATTCCATAAACTTTGATTAGCATGAACTAAACATGTAATGTTTACACATTTTCAAACCTGGCCCTCATTTAGGTTTCAAGAAAATTTAGGCACTTTAGCCGTTGTATCCGTTCTATTTATTTACATTGTATTTTGGTGCCCTAAACTTTTGCACTGTAATAAAATATTTCCGTCCTTCTTTTGTAAATACGGTATTATTCGGTAAATGTATATTTGTTATGTGAAAAGTAAAAAAGGGACCTCTTGTCGGCATTGTAAAATTTTCAGTATGTCCAATATAAGTAATTAATGTTGAAAATATCGAAATTTGGTTTTTTATCGTTTGTTATACCTCATTTAACATAGAACAGGACAGTATTGGTTAAAATATGGAATTAAAGATGTAAAAGGTTTAAATAACTGCACTGAATAAATCATTTTGTTACCCTCTGCACGGTCTGAGAAAAGGTACCTCTTGCCGTTCAATGATATTTCGCCATAACGACAAGAGGTCCTATCTAATATTCACTTTATAAACAGACTTTAGTCCAAAAAAAGAATTGTTCAACATTCTAGTGGACATTTAGAGATCTACAACAAAGTTCAGTTTACAGAGAACAAAATATCTCATAAATTTTGCGGCCCCGACAAGAGCTACCTTTTTTGATCTTATGGAGAAATAACATAGGGCCGACAAGAGGTCCCTTTTCTGAAATGTAATTTTTACGACACGCTTCGCTAAAACAATTATTTAAATGAAAACTACCATGTGTTAAGACCAAAATTGATATTGCCTCCAAAGAGGACATTATAAGTTTTCTTTTGATATAAAAATTCATAACAAAATTTCAAAGTCCTATAACTTTAACAAAAAAAATCATAGAGGCATGGGACTTGCACCAGTGATTAGGAATTTAATAAGGAATTCAAAAATATATATACAACTCAAAATCAAAAATTACCGACAAGAGGTCCCTATTCGCTTTCCACGTCACATTTGTTTGTGTCATGTGAACTGTATGTAGTTTTAACTAAACGACGTCCACTGGACCATTTTGAGCAGGAACGCCTGATGATAGCACAACTTTGTGCTGAAACCTAGGTCACAGTAACCAACTTATTTTGAACTGGAGACTGCAGGTAATTAAGCCATTATATTATGTTTTAATTTACCTAGTGGGAAATAATTGCACTGATAAATCCTAATCATGCTTACTTAAAGATGTGAATATTTACTGATTTGGGAAAACATGTTATCAAACCAAAAACAACTCTGCACATCTAAATATGCTTGGGGGTACGAGATGGCAAAAATCAATAGAATTTATAAAAACATTATGAACTTACCAAACAGTAGCGATAATGTTTAAAACAACCAAAGAGTAAAAGAGACGGAAGTTGAAGAATGCCAATAGTTCAAAGAGGTGCCTAACTCAATTTGTTGCTAAAGGGTTGATCCTATTATAGCAATCAATACTTGAATATAGCCTTACGCACTGAAGCCTGGCTTAGCCTCAATGGCTGAGGTTTACAAATAAAATAAATGTTTCACTTTTTTTTAATAAGATATTTTGTTTCCACAGAATGTTCAATAAAAATTTGATTTAATACATCAGAATAAGCGTTTTTTTACGATTATGCATAGTAAAATATATGGATGAAATTAATGGTAATACAGTTTTAATCAAGCTTTAGAGTAGGTATATTCCAATTATTCTTTGAGTGAGTATAGATAGCTTTATATATCATTTCATTTTTAATGTAATTTTTAAACTGTTAGGCTTTCAATGTGTGGATACAGGGCTACTTTGTACAAATTTGTTTACGGTTTCTAATGTTCTTCTTGAGGAAATCTGAATAATCGTTATTTGGATAATAATGCTACACAAATGTTACTCCTTCAGATTTTTTTTTTTCTTTGAATCCAATAATTAAGAATTAATGTATGATCCAAAACTGGTGTGAATTCTAATATTTTTATGAACAGCGCTTTACCTGATGATCTCAAAATATTTAGTTAAAATCCTAACGATATTTTTTAAGGTGGGTTATTATGTTACCTATCTATACAGTATACACTCTCCTCATAGTATGACTCCTTATTTTAAAATGGATTCAATATATACGCAATAACATGTGATCTTATATATTGAATTTATTTGATTTGTGTGTTTCTACGCCAGTGGCATTTTTTAAGTTTTGAAAGGGAACAGCCTGTGATGCATTTCTCACAGAGACACAGTTAATTAAAACAAGAAATGATAAACAAATACAAATAGAACCAACATTTTCCTAAAATCTTATATTCCAATCCAATTTTCCATTAATGATTGTATACAATAATAAACCAGTAAATCCGTGCGTTTTTACAACACATTGCATCATATCTAGAATTTTACTGTTTCATGTAGAAAATGTCAATATGCAGATTTATTTTTTTAATTTTCTGGAATACATCATAATTTTTATTTAGGCTATTTTATTATTTGTATTAGCTTTAACCTGGATGTATAAACTAAAATCTATTATTAGCTATTACATAAATCTGCTAGGCCTATATCTAATCCTTAAACAGTGGAACAAATTTTATGAAATGAAGTGTGCCTGGACATTATCAGAGCATTTTCCCCGTGATAAATCTCCTGTGAAATAGTGCTGGTGCAGCTTGTTTTGGGTACAAACAAATCTCCATGAAATTAGAAAACATTGCTATTTTAAAGAAGCATCTTGTTGATAATAACCAGTTGAGATTGCCTGACAATTTTATTGTTATATTTGTGGGACCATGGATTTCAATTTCGTTTTGATATTTTAAAAGTTTTGTTATAAGGCTTAGAGTAAAAAAATTCTAATCCTCTTGCTAAACCAAAAACCCTACGCTAATATAAAATTCCTTGCATTAATTTTAATTAAGTTTATAGCCAACTATTTTTGTGTATCATAATCAATTTATGGAGCATATATTTAGTTTAAATACGTTTTAAATATTTTGCTTTAAGTCTACTCTTTAACATACTAACTAACATAACTTGTGACCTATATAAGCAAACGGCGAACTCCAAAATTTAAATTCCGCTGAAAAACCAGGCGCACTAACAAAAAAGTAGGCTAATTTGAATTTCGAAGAATCTTTTGGGCACACACCACTAGGTTCACAACATAAGTGTAGTAGGAAGGGCTTGTCGGGGTTAGGTTGCATGACGATCAGCTAATTGTACTTTGTAGCTCCGACATACTTGTAACTCCTGTCTAACTTTAATGAGCTCGGCCCGTCACCCATCATCCATACTGGCATTGAAGGAAACGCACAACAAACATACAACATTTCTACACATTTATTTATTTATACTAATCACATAAAGGACCTGCACTGTTTAACCTGCAACGGAGTAATGCTTTTGTTAAATTTAATTGAGATAAAAACTGTAATTGAAGAAATTTCCTTAAAAGAGGTTAAAGTTGATCTGAAATAAGACTTCCCCTTTCTGTGGTGGAGGAAAATTTGTTATCAGATATAAAATAGAAAATGTAAAAAAACTTAGATGTTCTTATCAAAGATCGGGTGTTTTTTTTTAACAAATTATTCAATCATATAAATAAGTTTTGTAATTCCTCCTAAACATTAAAAAATATGATGTATAAACAGGAACATAATGTATAGTCTTTTTCTTCCAGTATTGTGTAATGTCAAAGACAATAGGGCTAAAAAGACTGATTCACTTAAATATACATGTACAGTGTAATGTTTATTATTAATTGGGTAGATATAGTGACCTTTTGCAAACCTACTTTTGCTTTTGTGAACGTCTCAAGTTTTTTTTAGTGGATGAGCTTGTATAAACTAAAAAAATAATAACAATACACTTTTAGATACCGGTACTGTTTAATTTAGGTAGGTTAAAGAGAGCCATGGGAGTATTAACTACTTTTTGTTTTCTGTATCCACACCCATTACCTTACGCACCTTTTTGAGGATTCCACACCATAACCTTGCTGAATTATATTATGTGTATATAGTGTAAAAAGAATAGGCCTATGCAATTATCTCCCTGAAGATGTCACACTCCGTGGCGAAATATATTGAAGGACAGCATAGATTTTCTACATGAACAAAGGCTACAAAAAAGGTATGCCTTAACTTAAAAAAAACCAACATTGGCTATTCAGAATGGAGTATGTTTAACAGTTTTAAATGCCTACCTTGCAAAGCTGAGATGAGAATGACAGCGACTGTTAGTGGATTTTACAGCCTTGCTTAGATCCTAGTCTGTCACTGACAGCCTTCATGATCTGTTCATAATGGCGCATATTGTTGTAGTGATGCGCCGTCTGAACCTCCGACCGAGGGCCCGGATGGCGTTTGATGCCTGGCGCATGGACCAGAAAGGCACCGTCCAAGATCACAAAGCGATAACCAAGCAGACACATCTCATGCATCTGAAATAAACCAAGGGGCAAATAAAATGAGTGATTGGGGGGGGGGGGAATATGTATATTGTGATGATGTGATGTATATTTATTGCAAATTGGGTGAAATATGGAGTTGTCCAACTGTTGTGCTAGGGCCTGGAAATAAGACCCTAGCCATATGGAAAAAGGGCGTAGGCCTACTATCTTCTGCTACCTTAATAAATGGTCATTTAATTGGAAACGTTGGGGAACCAGAGGGTGGAGATCCTTCACCCAGACCAGAAGCAGGCCAAGCCAGCTTTGATTACTTATAAATTAACTAGAATATTGAACTATTAGCTAACCTTCTAAATTAAATTGTTAAATACAGTGAAAGAGTCTGTTATATTTCGAGACGCTATTTTAACTGGCCTGTTGCTTTCACTAACTCCTTATTGAAAATATCTGGACTCTAAGGCGTTTCCTGAATGAATTATTTCTAAGGTTTCAACGTGGTGATTTTTTAATGTCTGGTGAAAGGATTAGGCTACTGTAGGCTACCTCGTTAAACGAGGTATATTGTCAATCTAGCCTGACATACTTAACCCTCCGAGCGTCACTCGTCGAAAAATCGACGTGCGACACACTTTGTGTAGTGTCACGCGTCGATTTTTCGACGCACGAACATCGTTTACGGCGAAGGCTCTATGACTGACTGAATCGGATTGAACTGGATCGAGTTAGGTATCGTTCTTTTTGTTATATTCTACGCTTTCTCCAGAGGTCTGTCTCTAAGCGCTTTATGTTCTCCGAGCCGATCGTAATTGTAGCAGACAGCTGACGTGCGTATTTCTAAAAAGCTAGGTTACCCTCGGACCGATGACTGATGTGTTTTATTACGTTTATCATTGTTTTAGTGTTAAAAATCAAAAGTAGTGATATACGTGGTGCATTATAAGAAGATTTAAGTGATTTTGAAGGGCTGGTTGATGATCCTGAAGAAGTAGGTAGTGATATTGATGTAGGCCTAAATTATCAGCCAGATTCCTATAGCTATGGTTAGGCTATGCATTCTTAGCTAAACGCTATGTACTGAAATCTGTTTTTTGCCCATAACTTATTTACAGGCGGACATTAACTTAAGGCCTAAGCTATGGACACTCGGAGGGTTAACCCTCCAAGTATCCATAGTTTAGGCCTTAATGGCCACCTATTTTTGGCGCATTTGCAAGGTTTTATTAAAAAGGATCTGAGAAGCTTAAAACAATGTTAATTCTAATGTTCTATATACCATTTTGTTTGGAAAATCATGGGCTTCAATATTATATATAAAACATAAGGAACATTTTTTCAAAAAAAAAATTTTTAGGTAAAAAAAATATAATTTTGAAAATTTAAAAAAAAAAAAGAAGTTCGCGCTCAATGAAATTGTATTATAGTTCTATAAATATTTGAAAATAGCCACTTTGTTCTAAATTTTATGAGGATTACAAATATATAATAATATAAGGAAGTAGATTTGCAAATAAATAAGTTATGGGCAAAAAACAGATTTCAGTACATAGCGTTTAGCTAAGAATGCATAGCCTAACCATAGCTAGGAATCTGGCTGATAATTTACATCAATATCACTACCTACTTCTTCAGGATCATCAACCAGCACTTCAAAACCACTTAAATCTTCTTATAATGCAACACGTATATCACTACTTTTGATTTTTAACACTAAAACAATGATAAACGTAATAAAACACATCAGTCATCGGTCCGAGGGTAACCTAGCTGTTTACAAATACACGCACGTCAGCTGTCTGCTACATATTACGATCGGCTCAGATAACGTACAGCGCTGAGACAGACCTCTGGAGAAAGCTTAGAATGAAACGGAAAGAACGATACCTAACTCGATCCAGTTCAATCCGATTCAGTCAGTTATAGAGCCTTCGCCGTAAACGATGTCTGCTTGTCGAAAAATCGACAAGTAACACTACACAAAGTGTGCTGCTTGTCGAATTTTCGTCAAGTAACACTGGGAGGGTTAAGGTTAAATACTAGTACTACAACCGACATTGAAATCACAAATGTATAACCTTTAAATACAACTTTCGGTCCATGTAGGGTAGCGCTTTTGATTCACAATATGAAGTACTGGTAAGAAAGGCCATCAAATAAAACAACCTTTTTTCACACATAATTGTTTGTCTTATCTCTTATTGTCACTGTTATTTGTTTTGCCCACCTGAATCATCTTGTCTTGTTTTCCTTCCCAACTAAGCAGCTCACTGTAGAGGGGTTCTTCATTGGTTCCTATGTAGATCGGTTCCCATCGATGGTAGGGGAACTCTCTCTTGACTACCAACATTGGCTGAAACATAAAAATCCCACCAATCAATAAAAAAATATATAAAATAACACTCAATACCTACATTTTATTTCGTTGCAAAAAAATAAATACATCATTATCTTAAAAATGAACTTGATTTTATTTAACCCCGAATTGTCTAATTCTTTGCAGGACCGGATTCAATCATGCGTGCACCTTGGGGCTATGATAGAATCCATCCGAGGTAAGAGCGTCTAGGGCCAGCACCCCTGGTAGACCGCGGGGGGGGGGGGGACATTTACTCCCTGGATTTTTCATTTTTTTTCATTTGGACCCACTCTGGTATGAGAGTAGGTATACTTATGTGTAAGGATATTAACTTATGAATTATTGAATCCAAAACATATCATTGTTTTACAACCATTAGCCAATTAGGGCCTAATAACTGCACTGCATTTCTTACCACACAGATACAAAGTGTTAGGACTACTTAATAAATTTCGGGACCAAACACCTAGGTTACATATTATGCCTATTATTATTATTAGGCATATTATTATTAGACATATTATTATTAGGCCTATTCACTCTTCAAGTGAAACTACTTATTAAGTAGTTTCACTTGAAGAGTGAATAGGCCTAAAAGCTTTCAGTTCAATGAGTAAGTACAATTAATTGACAAAAACCAACCTGAATTGAGTTATCTGTAGAAGTGCTAGAGTGGTGTATCCACCTCTGAAGACCAGGAAATCTTTGGCAGTGTAAACATATCCACCGATGAAAATAAATTGCCCTATTTTGAGAGTACAAGTATAACAATTCTGACTTTTTTTCTGGAATGTTGGAAATAAAATGTTCAACTTCAAAAACTGGTACGACATAAACCAGATGTTTTAATGGAACTTTTCCATCACTTTTCAAATGAAATCTTGACAACATTTTTACAAAATGTGATACTAAATGTCTGCTTGGTATCAATTCAATGTCAGACACGATGACAAATTTTGTTAGAGCTCTAGTTCTAGCTACATTCCTTGCAACGTTCACTGGATAGATCAATTCTTCTTGGTTTCTAAATGTGTTAAGACTCCTACTAGCAACAATGGATGGTACTGAACACCCTTCAGGGACAAATAAAGTTGGATGGCAAGATAAATGATCAGGAGGATGTTCTATAGGAAATACAAAATGTAAAGACACTTTTGACATTTCAGGAACACACGAACATAATCTTTGCAAGAGGCAAAGAGTTGTGGATGCATCGTAATTTCGTAACTAGGGACAAAAGCAGCGATGCTAATTGGTCCTTCCCATCTAACAACAATTTCTACTAAATAATACAAAAATTCTGGTGTTAAATGTGAACAGTACGTAACACTAGTAGAATTATTTTTAGGCCATGTTCCTTGCAGTACATTAAAAATTACTCGATAGGAACCCTTTTCTCCTAGTTCTGGACTAAAATTAATTTCACTGTCAGAGAGATCAAAATAATCAGGAAACCCCAATCTAAAACTACAGAAGCTTTCATTTGACGGTTTCATTTGTTTTAGGAAGGCACCAGGCGTAAATTGATTGTAGTTGTCAAATGATCTCCTGAAGAAAAAATTTGAGCCATCTAAATAAGGAAAGTTATACAACATTGATTTGATTGAAACATATTTTTTGTTTTGATATACCCTACAAACATACAAAATGCATAAGAATATGACAATATAAAGGAAAAGTCTACTTCGAAAACTACGAATTACTAGCACCCAACATTTCATGTTTCAGCAGATTGGTTCAATTAACCCAATGTGTTGTAAATTGAATCAATAGTATGAACAGTAGGAAAGTATTACTAATGTTTCCCCGTTGGATAACACGAGATCATAAGATGAGATGTTGCATTGTGGCTTATTTGACAGCACTTCACCAAAAGTAAGGCCTAACTTAACACAACTAAATGGCAATGGCAACAAAACCCAGTTTTAGTCATGCTGGTATAATGTGACAACGGAATTGCATCTTTATTCTTTTTTGCCTAATACGAAGAAACCTCAAACATCGATATGATAGAAATTATCAAAACCTTGATGTAACACAAAAGATATAAAAATATTGAGATCGGTGTTGTTGATAGAACTTCTCAGGGACGATTCGGTTCGGTTTCAATTTTCAATTCAATAAACAAAAACAACACATCAACAACAACACAACACAACAGCCGACGAAACGATCGCTGTGCTGACATAAGTCAGCTGAGAGCTGTCTGCTAGGTTTTTTTTATTCAGATGCTAGACTAATGCCCAAAACCCGATTAAGTGTTACCTATTCAGATATGCCCATTCATTGATTATAGAGTGCTGCTATAACGGCAACTAAGAACAGTTAACTATTTTCATTCTCGATCACAGTATTATCATCAGTCAACCACTTAGGTGCGCAATTTCAGCTAAACGACATTAAAATTTCACCGTAGTATGGATGATAGCCTCCCAGGTTGTGAAGAATAACTAATAATAATGGTTTAAATACATAATTCGGGCAATCAGGTATTTAAACAATAATTATTCTTAGACAATACATTATAAGAGTAGAGTCATAGAGTAAGATGGCCTGTGGTAATTT